ATACCAAGAGTATTATATCCTTTCCTTGGTCATTGCTTCCTGGAATCTGCTTGTGAGGTTTTGTTATTGTTTTTTGTTTTGTTTTTTTTTTTAATAAGTGTAGTTTTTACTTTCAAAGGTATTTCCCTTTTTGCTGTATCCTGTACAGCTATTTGTTATATACTACTGTTTTTATGTAAGTTACTTTCCCCTCTGCTTCAACCCAATGCCCTTGTAGCATCTCTATTGCTGACAAGGTTTTGCAATCAAGTCTTCTGCAACATTTGCAAGACCCTTATGTTCTATGGTGATGCAGGCCCAGGTAGATGGGAAAGGAACAGATTTATTGGGTGGAAAGGAGATCAGACTTTCCCACTTCTTGTTCCAGAAAGGCATATGCTCTTAATTTTTTGGTGATTTTGTGGTTGCATCCTTATATTCTTGCAAATGAAGACGGTGGTTGCACCATTTTGGTGCAAATGTATGTCCTTCTGCATCATTGAGTCTTGTTCCTGCTATCTTTCTTGGTTGTGTAACCCAGTCTTGACTTGATTATGCTTGCTTCTGTAATAGGTCACATTCAAGTGCTCTGTGGCAGTTGTGCAAGGACACACAGCTTTGGAAGGAGTGCTGCTCTTTGGCAGAAAGCACTTCTACATCTGTGAATGCTTTGTATTGTCCCCTCTAGAAGAGGTTTGCTGTACACAGCACTGCTTGTCCAGGTGAGTCATTCCTTCCTCCCAGAGATCTGCTTGGTTAACTTCAGTGTTAGTGCATTCAGCCCTTGATGTTGCACAGACTTTAGGAGATTGCAAGATGAGATTAGACCAGCAAGAAGACTGCCATCCTTTCTATATTTGCAGAATCATTTAACCTAACTCACTGTAGATACATGGAGGTGCTTTGAGGACTCCCAGGTCCAATGGATGGAGATGGTGAACAGTCTAACATGTCTGTTTTTTCATTCTTTTCAAGTGCTATTAATGTTCCTTTCTGGCTGGCTCCCATCTTTTATTCATATGGAACAGTCGTTACAAGAGTCTTTTCCTTTATTATATCATAAGTTTGTTTCTCCAAGACAGAGATAATAGTAATTAATATTTGGAACACTGCTATCATCTTTGACTCGTGATTTATTGATATTGATCAATATTGAAAATGAGCCTGTTAGACTTAGCTCTTTGCTCATACTGTGTGTTCATGTGCAAGGCCCAGTGGGACAGTGAGCAACTCAGTGTTTTTACTCGCTGAAAGACTGTCTGCTGTGCATCCGATTCTTACTAAATCTGATACCAGTCAATCCGATCAAATGACTTACAGATCGATTAGACAGAGTCTGATTAAATAATTTGAGTTGCTTTTCTAAGGGGTTTGCTGTAGGTTGAACTGTGGGTATCAATTGAAGTACATGTAAACACTTCTAGTAATAATGAAGTGATAGTTTAATTATTAGTTCCAGTTAATAGCGGTTAATGAAAGCAGCATGTCCATATGATGTTTGCCTTTGACCCTGGCTTTCAGGTTCTCCCACTATATTCCTTCTCTTGCTGCTGCTTAGACTTCAACACATGCAAAACACTGCTCTCTATGTACTTGCATACCCTAAAATCATCACTTCAAATCTACCTTCAGCCTCCACAGGCATTTAAAAAAACAAAAAAGAACCCAACTTTTTCAAATTTTATATTATTTTTATTATTATTTTGAGAACTAGTTAAAAATATATATATATATCTGCCTTTGTAGTTCAGCCTTGTTTTCAATTCCTCTGTATTCCAGTTGTCTTATAAACAGGACTTAACATGTTCATGAAGGCTTTCCAGGTCTCTTTTGTTTAAAATTGATTTCTTTTTCTTTTGTTTTTCCTTTTCCAGCATCAGTGATCCATTCATTTTCAACTTGTGTCATAGAGAGCATGTTGTGGGAGATCAGAGATGTTTCCGTTACTCATATCATGATATAAAAGAGATCCGTCTAATGCGCTTTCTCCTGCAGGTAGGAACTAACATGCTTGGTCATTTGAGTGAAAGCTGCTGCAGCAGTAAAATTATGTGACTGAAAACTACTTGTATAATTTTCACTAAGACTGTTGAGGTTTTTCTGAGCAAAAACCACCCCTCAATGGAGTGATTGGCCCGTTAGTTGTTAGGCTGACAGTATTCTTTACTGTCCAACTCAGTGTTTTTGAAAACAAGCTTTGAAATCATTTTTGTTTTGACTGAAGTTTCCAGTAAGCGTCTAATTTTTCAGTGATATTCAGTACATAGTTCATGATGTATGTGAGTTGGACAGTTTCAGCAGAGATCTACTTCAGGATATAGGATATGGGGTACTTAAGTGGTTAGGTCACTATCCAAACATGTACGGAAATGTTAAGTCTTGTTATGAGTAACTGTATGAAGCACATTTTCTTACATCACCTGATGAGCAATCAGAGCAACAGAACGATCACCTCTTCCTCCATTTCTCCTCCGAAGTAGAATCTTACTTTCTTCACATGTGTTTGTATCTATACGTGGATTTGTTTTGAACAAGAGAAAAGGAAGTGTTTTGTGTTACACAAACTGAAAAATAGAGACCAGTGAAAGTAGTCATTGATTGGACCTTGGGTGAAAGTGTGAAGCTGTGCTTCAGATAAAGCTGTTTATTGTCGTAGCTGCTTTTATATACCCTTTCTTCTTCATATTTTATTTGTGAATCATGTATGGGCTGTTGTCATTCTCTTGTTTTCTTAGATTTGTATTACACCTGCTGTCTTTGGATTGAAACTCATGTCTGGCTTCCCAGATACAATGCATCATTTGTAATTTTACCTGGCTGACTTTGGGGAGGGTGGAGAAGGGACTGATCACTGGGTAAATTACAGGAGCGTATGCAAATGACCAACTTAACCTGTGTGAGGATATTGTGGAAAAAGGCTGAAGGTGTAACTTTTCTTTTTTAAAGCTTCAGTGAGAAACATCATAAACTCCCCTTCCTCTTCCACTTCCAGTCTTAAATGAGTAGTAACCAACAATTTTGAAAGTTGCAGGGTTTCTGTTTGGAAGAAACTTTTACTTAGGATCCCCCCCTTCATATACCTATTTAGAAGTTAATACTACTTGTGTTATGCTATTCGCACCAAGATTTCAAGACAAAAACAGAAGTAGCAGATGTTGGGTGATGGGATCAGTATCTAGGCTTTGATTTTGCTTCACAGAAGCATTCATAATCCTAGTCAACCCAGTACAACCATTTCTATAGATGGAGAAATTGGGAACATTAGGTCTATTTTGCTATGCTTTTTCACACTTGCTACGAAGTCATGGCCTTTGTTTTTGAAGCCTTGAAGAACTTGAGAGCCCATAGTGGGCTCTTCACAGCACTCATCTTAGGTCTTCACTGCTTCAACCTGCAAATGATTTACCTTTCTAGGAGATCGCCTTAGAAATATTCTTCAAAAATGGTTACTCCAGATTTCTTGTCTTCCATGACTGTGACCGAAAAAAGATATTTAAGAGGTAATAACTTCATAATTTCATGTGTATGGTCTGTGTTTATCTTGGCTTCAAATTTCTGTCTTTGTGCTGTCTCTTTCTTTGATTACAACTTTTTGGTCTTTAATGACTTGCATATAAACAAAGCTATGAAACTTCATTTGCTGACTTATGAATTCTTTGGAACATTACGTAGTCATTGATTTATCAAGGGAGCTAATGCATCTGTAATACTCTTCTAGCACCTGATGGCGTGTTGTTATATATCCTTGCATCCCAGAGAAATGCAATCGTAGCTGTGCTGCTTCCTTTCCCTAAAGATCCTTCTGCTCCTGAAATCTCTGAGCACTCTAATGGGGAGCATTTCTTAAAAGGCCAATCTGAATTTATCCAATTCTCCTTTCTAAACTGGAATTCTTAAAATTACCAGATTCTGCCCCAGAGATGGCTGCTTTTAGTCCTTATTTTAGCTGTCTCTTAGCTCTGAAATGCATGTGTTGGAGTGATCTCGCTGAGGGCAGTTCAAGACAGTGCATTAGTCTTCAACTGCCTGTCTTGCCATTCAGCTGCAGGTTACCAAACCTATGGGTTTAATGTCTGACATTAAAAAAAAAAAAAAAAAAAAGAAGAAAAGAATAAAAAAAAAAAAAAGAAAAAAAAGAAAAAAAAAAAAAAAACACCCCAAAACCTACTGGAGGTAAAGAGGGGGGAGGCTGATATGTGAGTTGGTGTACCTTTCTGCCACTTTTGCCAGCAGGCTGGTAAATGTCAGAGAGGATTCTTTTCCTCTGGGTTTAATTAGTACCATCCTAAGCCACTTGATCATAAGTTATTACTGATCAATTCAAAGCCTTATTTAGGAAAGCAACTGTTTTTATCCAGCCTGCAGACAATTCCTTAACATTAAACATATGTTTTTACTGTGTTGTCTTGCAACTTTATTCTGGGTTGGTGAAAGGCTGGGAGGCTGGGACATTCCCTTGCTATAGGCAGGGACACCTCCAAGTTGGTTTAGTGGGAGATGTCCCTGCCTGTAGCAGGGGGGCTGGAACAAAATGATCTTAAAGGTCCCTTCCAACCCAAATCATTCTATGATTCCATGATCCTTCATAAGAAAAGTTGCAGTTAAGGTATGATGGTGTTTAATAGATTATATACGGATATGAGATGATACACATACATCCTCTGTACAAATAACTGTTTAAAAGATTGTTTTGTTATTTTTTTTATCTGTAGATTTTGCTTTTTCCAACCTGCTTTGAAGTCAAAGGGGGTAACAGAGGAGTCCCTGAATGTAAGGTAAAAACATGAACATTGGATAACAGTAGAAAATAAGAGCAAACACATTATGAAATTGTACCTTAAAAACAAACAAACAAAAAAATGGAAATTGGAAACTTAGCTCTTTGTGCTCTCTGTTTTGAAGATTCAGTTGTGTCTCCAGAACTCTAGTGTTCTAGTGTATAGCATCCATGATCTGAAGGTATGAGGAATGTGTTAAGTAGCTGACAGTGCTTAGTTGATTAATAATTATTAACTCCTTAATATGATTTTATGGTAAACTCTACACAGATGGTTACTGTGGGATAGAGACAGTCAGTGAGGTGAGGCTACAAAGCTAATCCATAATGTTTCTACATAATGGGCTGTTTATTGTGTGTTTAGAGTAGACAGTGACAGATGTGTGCGTGGAAGTTTTGGCATGCTACAGTAACAGCGCATTGGAGATACCAATTTGTGGTTCATCAGATTTACTGCTGCAGGAAAAGAAAGCTTTCCCTTCCAGTGTCAGTTGAATGAAACCATGTTCAGTGCAGACACTGAGTTATTTGTATAGCTGCAGATCTTTTCCAATTGGGTGTGTGAGGAATACACCCCTGAGGGCCTGACTAGTGTACTCTGGAATGATCACTTGGAGGCAGAATATTGTTGAGATCTGTGGAGTTGTAGTATCTTGTTTGTGTGACCTCTGCTTCCCTTTTTTTGTTTGTTTTCATTCCACCTGTTGCAGGTCGTTACTTATCTTTGAAGTGAATGCTTTCACCTTGAGTACTAGCCATCTGCTTGCAAAAAGTATCATTGCAGTGTGCAAACAGCTCTGGCTAGAGCATAATCTGAGCTAGAAATGATGGTTAACTCTATAGAGATGGTAGTGTTCTGTGACATTTAAAATTGATAATCTTTTTTTATATTTCTGGACCACTGAATGTTTCACCCATGGCACTTCATTCTTCATTTAAATACAGTTAAATCTGTGCTGTCAACATGTTACTGAGGCTGCAGCCAGCAGCTCTTCATGTGCCATGCTCAACTACTTTTATAATGTGCTCATTGCTTGCACTTGTATATTGTATTCACTGAGACTGTGGATGACTACGCCTCACCCGATGAAAATTAACAAAAGTAACGTTTGGGGGGCTAAGTGGTACGAGATAATTACTAGAAATAACTATTTTTGTAAAGTTTCCCTTCAGTGGACATGTGACAAGGACATAAAGTTCATAACAAACAACAACAAAAAAAAACACAAAGAACCAGAAGAACATGTTGTAGGAACAGGCCCAGGTGCTAGAACATAGTCTTTCCAATGTGTCCTTCTTAAAATGTACATTTGTTTTACTTATTTGGGATTTGGTTTTAGATACCGCCTCAGATGTACTTCTAAAACTGGGTGTCTTTAAATGAAGAGAACTGCAGAAAAAGGCAGGTGGATAGCTTTTTAATTAGCTTGAGCTGGATTTCATAGGACATGGCCCATGGAGCACGACTGTAGAGTTCAGAGATGTTCATCTTTTAATCTCCATTGTTCTTGGTTATCCATTGCAGTGGAGTTGGGTGTAAGGAGTAAAGGGAAACTGAGCTTCTTGGAGGGGCAGGACATTGTGTTCTTCAACTTGTTTAGTTTGTCCTTTTCTTCCTGACAGGTCTTCAGGCAGGAACAGCATAGGTCTTTCTCTTGTACTAAGTAAAGTGATTCTACACGCTTGATGGGGTCAATGTACTCTTCTTTTTTTGACTCAGGGAAAGGGTTTCTTTCTGCATTCAGTTTCTGGAGCCTGGGAAGCGTTTTCACACTCTTTGGGATAGTGGTCAAGAAGTTGTCAAAGAGACCTAACTCCTTAAGTTCCTTCAGGGCCCCAAGTGTGGAGGGGATGCTGTCAAGACAGTTCAAGCCAAGATTGAGAATACGCAGGTTTTTTAGAAGGTTCAACTCTTCTGGCAAGGTTTTGCTGGTCAGCTTGTTGTTACATATATTCAGGTAGAAAAGATTCTGAAGCGTACCTACTGTCTTGGGCAACTCTTCGAGCTGATTGCTGTGCAGGTCCAGCCAGCGCAGTTTCTGGAACTTTTCAATGCTGTTTGGGATCTTTTTTAGCATGTTTCTACTCAAATCAAGCTCATCCACATCAGCCAGTTTTAGAATGCATTTGGGAAAGGTAGTGATACCCATCTTACTTAAGTCAAGACGACGGCCTCCATCAAAAGAGATCCTGATAGAATTTTTTGCAGTTTTCAAGGTGATTTTTTTTCCTTTAGGACCTTTTCCTTTTCCCTTGGCCATCTTTCCTCAGAGAAAGACAAACACACCAGACTCTGGAAGAAGTGGGGAGCCCCAGCCTTTGAAAGCAGTGACTGTTAATTCCTAATTAAAAACAGAATAATGTCTTAGTCAACAATTAACACGACTGTAGAACTCATCAGAAGTCTTTTTTTTTTTTTTTTTTTAAGCTCATGACTTTTCAACGCTTGGGCTGCAACTTTGAAAGGCTTTCCTGAAAGCATTTTGAGTAGGTGAAATTCTAATTATTAAAAATATAATTTTATTGCACCATGACACTTGCATTGCTCTGTAAAGCAGTGTAAGTATTACAGGATGAAATTAAAAGTATTACAAGTGGGAGAAATTTGCTGTCTTTCATCCCTAGATACTGGTTTGAGCCCAGCATGTAATGAAACCGAATGAAATACATTAACCATTTGCTGTATAAGGACTCAGGTGAAATATATTATGGGTCTCAATGCAGTCCTTGAGGATAGCACTAAAAGAAAGCACTGTTGTAGGTATTTGTAGCAGACTAAAAGGTTACTTTTTTTAAAATTTTATTTTACAGTCCTGGCATCGGAGGATAGGTTGGTTAAGTATCGTGTTGAATGGACCCGAGACTTTCAGCTCTGGACAATACTGAAAGAAAAACTGAATGTTTAAAGCAAATGACCGAGAGTTTTTCTTTAAGTGGGATCTCAGAGACCCAGTTGGCTCACAGATTTGCCAGAACGGGTTACAATTGCTTATTGATAGGTTAAGCTAGATCACAGAGTCTCTCTGTGCTCTTAAGCACAGACTCTAGATACTTCTACTTTGTTGTTCTTCCGCACATGTTGAAGGATAAGTGAATTCCCATGGTGAAGGTTTTTTGTCCTCAAATAATGCATGTAAGGGTTCTAGTCAGACTTGTCAATGCTTATACTAAATACGTGCTATGTACTGTGAATGGGGACCTGTGTGAGTAGTAGTAATCCACTGTAGTCTTAGGGTTGGTGACCTGTCTATATAATTGAACATCATTAAATATGAATAATAGTCACAGTTAGTGACAAAAGGTGCCATAGAAATGAATGACTCATGCTGAGAGGAGCATGGGTTAAGCTGGCTAACCATGGGATAGTCTGGGTGCTCTTGCATTTAGTTGTGAAAAGGTAAATTGCAGCTTTGATGGGAGATTGATTGTGACAAAATATGGATTTGTCCACAGTACATTTCCCTATTAAAAAGGCTTCATTACAAACCCTCAGGCTCTTTGGCTACTCATTAATCATGTGCAAATACATGAAGGGATAGCTCAGGCATTTCAGCTTCTTTCAAATACATGCCATAGCCAAAGATGATGCAAAAGCAAAATTATCTCTGCATTCCCAGGAGCTCCATAATGAGGCAGTTGCTCCAGGAAGTAACGCAGTGGGGTCAGTCTTGCCCTGAGGATATATTCCAAAATTGACTCTTTCTGATATTTTTAAAAATTGTTTAAAAGGTTAAAACCTACAAGATTCTGTGTCTCACCAGTAATTACAGGGATTTATTAACATTATGTCCGAAGGCCACTCACCCTTTTCTGTATTTAAAGTTACTGCTTCAGCAGCAGTATCATGCTATTTCTTTCATAGTATAGACTGGAAACTGAAGGAAACAAGAAATTACAGTGGAAAATTAAGCATTTTCTAAATGTTAGCTTAAATAATTTGCCCAGGATTGTGCAGGAACCAAATCTGTTTTTTTTCTTCTAATTAGAATTCTCATATTTTAAAGAAGTTGATGGAAAAAGATCTGCAGGACAACTGCCTTAGGCTTGGGCAGGCAGGCTTGGGAGAGAGATTTTCTGCTTCCTGAAATTTATGTGATCTTGGCGATGTTGAGATCCGACTTTTCTCTTTTTGCTTGAACTTCTTGTCTATGTTGGACAAGTTGATGAAGACATTCAGCTTTAATCAGTGAAGGTTTTTTGTTTTTTTTTTTTTTTTTTTCAGCTAAATATGCCTTGAATAGAAATGGAATTGGCCTCAAGGAAAAATATTTGTTTTCTAAATTCAAAATGATAATCTTTTAAAATACTTTTAAAGACATCTTTAAAACTCTCAGAAGGAAAACATTTTGTTCAGTTCCTAGTGATTTTTTCCAAAACTTTTCAGTGAAAATCCTGAGTGGAGGGGGGGGAGGTTCAGAGTGGGGGAGCAATCCATGGCGAGAAAGTTGCTTTACTTTCGTCCCAAACAGTCGTCTTAAAATAAAAATAATAAAAAATAAAGAACACAACCTTTTGTTTTATTAATGCTGGTTCCCAGAGCTGCCGTTACTCTGTGCTGTGTGCATCTGGGAACACTAGAGGGAGCCTGGTGTGAACAGCTGAGTGCTGGAGGAAGACTGGTCAGGAATATGAGCGTAGTTTTAATCTTTGCGGTACTTCTCTGCCAATGACCCTCACTGACTTGTTAAAAAAGAAATATTAAATAAACCTAGGTCTTTCAGAGTTTTACAAGTCCAAACAGGTTAGTAATTTTCCTGAAGACAGATCACTTACTGTGAGGCACTGGATAATGGCCAGATTTCAAACCACCTTGGTCAGGTCACTTTAGTTGGATTTTTTTTTTTTTAAATCATACCTTGGATCCTTACTTCATATGCAGTGATGACGTAAACATGCCCAGGATGTGTGCTCACATACTGAGGGGCTGTTTGTTTTGGGTTAAAAGTGGGATCCAGGTTTTAAAATAACTTTTTTTAAAGTCCCAGAGAAAAAGATCAGCATTAGAGTTCTGAAACACCACTGTAGCACACCGACTTGCAGAGCATGAATATCTCTCTCATCTCTGCATGCTTGTAAACTAATTATCAATGTTTTGCAGGGCTGTAACTGGAGATAATGGAGCTTGCTTATCCGTGTCTCATTTTCTTCAGCTTTGTGTAAGAGGCATCCAGTTCTGTAGACACTGGTATTAAAAATTCAGGAATCACAAGAGCCCTCCTTGCTGTAAATATTAATTATACCCATTTGATCTCCTGCTCACAGTGCATCTCTGGTGGTAGCAGAGAAAGAAGTACTTTCCTTGATCCAAGGAAGGCTTGCAGATTACTCCTTACTTGCACAGGGCTCTGCCATGTCCCACTGCAGTTTAGGCCTGTCCTAAGCAGATCCAGTTAGGCCTAGGAAGCAGATCCAGTGCTAGAAGAATGCAGATTTGGACCCTGGTGCAGTCTCAGCATTTCTTTTTCCTTCCTCAGCATAGTGCTGGCAGGAAGAGATGGGCTTTCTGCCCACGCTGAATTGGGTGTTTCAAGATCTCCTCTGGGATTCTCCCTGTTCTTTTCCTACCATGGGTTGCTGCTTCCTACTTCACTGCACCCAAAGCCATACAGAACCATCTCAATTCTATCTTGAACTTGCATGTGGAAGAGTTTGTTGTCTCTCCTTGAAGTTTGCATGCTGCAGAGCAGCAGGCCTGTGCAGTCCAGCAGAGCCTCTCTGGGATCAGGACAGTGAGGCAACACGTTCTGGCTCAAAAGAAACCATTTCACGTACCGCTTTAAAGCAGCATTCATACAGCAAATGATGTTGCATGAAGCCAACCAGTTCCAACCAGGAGATTGTTTTATTTCCCTGCTTACAAGCCTGTTACCATTTCTTTGTTGTTGGATACGACCTATTGTGGAAGAGAGATTAATTCCCTGACTATTTTAGATGCAGTCTCTTGCTAACAGGCTGTTTGAAACTAAATCCTATCAGAACAAATATATACTGAGCATTTTCCTTTGATTTTCTTACTTCTTTAGATAGCTTTTGTATCAACATGTGCAAGGTTACTTATAAACCAAAACCCACCCCACCAAGGATATACAAAAGTACTGCCTCATCTCAGCAATTCTGCTGTCCGCCTACTTAAGATCTTACCAGCTAGCAGAGAGACAGTCTTACAAGCTGTGGTACCGATGTCACAAGCTGCTTCTTTCTTTCAGCAACACGAGATGAGCCTTCATGGTCTGCTACTGCGCAGTCTTCCTCTGGTCTGCTCCTCTGTAAGAAATGAATTTGTCTTTCAGTTGGTAAAGCAGGGGAGCACAGGACAATTTCCTTTTCAGAGGCCTGTAAATTTTTAATTGGGCTTCCTTGAAGGAAAATGGCGGGCCTTCAAGAAACTGTTGTGTATATAAGTTTACTGAGGGGAAGAAGAGTTGAAAAAGAACTTCCCTGGCCACAGTGCTTCTGTTCAGTTCTCTGTCTGCAGCCTATAAAACTTTTGTTCCTAAGCAACAGCACTGCTAGGTCCTTGGAGATCATTAGCATAATGTGTGGTTCCAGCGTGCAAGTTCAGGCTGGAGGGAAAAGAGCTGAACTGCATGTCGTGTTTGGAAATGTTAGACTTCAAATTATGCAGAAAGAAAACACATCTGGACCTGGTTAGAAGCTGTTTGTCAGCTTGCTGCCTTAGCTGTCCATTTTAGTCATTTGACCATTTCATTTTACTTAGCTGTAACTCAGTGTGAAATGCCTGTATGTACATGTTAGAACTCCCAACACTCGTGATACCATCCATAGCATGTCAGACTGAGTAGATACAGACTAGGAGGAAAAGTTTGTTCTGTCCTGAGCTGCAGCTTGCATTTATCTATCTGTGACCCTTCAAAAGTGCTGTTGCAACAATTCCCTCTTGTATGATGCGAGTTTCCTGGAATTTTTTTGTATAGCTGCAGCTCATGATTTTAGTGGTTGCAATTATTTCAAAATGGTATTTGGAAAAAAAGAACTGAAGAGATATATCTAATGCAATCAACCTGTGAGTTGACAAATGAAATCTCAAAGCTTGGAGAGAGCATCCCATTTGGACCACCGAGGCCCAGAAGCACAGCTGTTTCAGGGAATGACTACTTTGAGCCTTGCAACTTCTCAAATCAACATATGTATGTTTGTATAGCATGCTTGCAGACTAAGCCAGTTTAGCCCTGTCTGTAATATTTTATTTCCCTACCTTTACGATACTCTCACAATAAAATGCTGCAGGACTGATAAACTGAGCAGGTTTCTACATGGCATAACTCCCTGCCTTTTAACTCAACCATAAATCCAAAATAAAGCTGGACAGTTTTAGTGAGTGTGTCTACCTTTGTGGAAAGGGAAGAACCTAAGCTGCTCCTTACCTGACAAATACTCTAATCCAGTAACACATTGTGCCTGGATTCCTGATCCTGTACCTTCCATCTGAGAGGCAAATAGCCATTGGAGACCTTACAAAGACCAGTGGAACAAAACTCAGTGAAACTATAGTACAGTAGTTCTGTATTGTAAAGGCTCATAGATGTGTTTTTCAGTCGAGAATTCGTACATTCTTGAGCTACTTATGGTTCAAAGTGGGGTGCAAAACCAGTATAATTCTACTCCAGTCAGTGGACTTTCTCCCATTTTACATTGTGTAAATTAGAACATCATTTAATCTCTTGGGTTTTTTTTTTTTTAATTGCTGAAAAATGACAGAATGTCTTGGGTTGAAAGGAAATTGAAGATCATCCAATTCCAACTCCCTGCTGTGGGCAAGTTCATCATGCAGCAAAGCAGGCTTCAGAGCCCCATCCAGTCTGGCTTTGAACATGTCCAGGGATAGGGCACCCAAAGCTCTCTGGGCAGCCTGGGCTAGTGCTGCTTCTTCCTCTGAGTGAAAGATTTTCTTCAAATATCTAATCTAAATCTCCCCTCTTCTAGTATAAAACTATTCCCCATTGTCCAATCACTATCTGCCCCTATAAAAAGTCAGTCTCCTTCCTTTTTGTAAGCTCCCTTTATGTACTAATTCTTTTCATTTTTTTTTTTCAGACAAACTGTCAAGGCCCCATCTTCCCATATCAGATATGAATAATACCTTTTTGTGTTTCCTGCTTGTTATAAATATAACCTATCATTGTTAGGTTTCGTATGCTTAACAGGAGAACTAATCAAAGCTTAAGAGTTGTAGACCATGAGCCAAAATTAGTCCAGGGTTCCACATTAGTTAATGAAATAGGTTATTTAGTCTGTGCAAAATCTTGCATCAATTACCTACCAACCTACCTCTGGCGAGAATTCCTAAACAAGGAATAAAGTACTTTGTTGAGTAAACAGTACCGTTTATCCTTAATGTATGCTATTAGCTGATCTGAGACTGAATAGGCAGTAAAAGAATGATTCATAATCATGAGATGAAATGTCATTTACAAGAATTTACTGCCACAAATTCAATAAAACTGTAATGATTGTAGACCATCCTAGTATTTTAATTAGGTCTTTGAAAATGCTTTGAAACTAGCTTTGTGGACTGTTAGTGTGATCCAATACAGAGCACAGCTTGTTCATGTAGCAGTTCTGTCTTCTGTGATTGAACTGATTCCATCATGCTTTATGAAGTTAGTAAGTTCGTCTCTGAACTGGCATCTTAGCTTTGGTGTAAAGCTATGTACTCAAAAGGAAAAGCATCCATAACCTTCAGTTATGTCATATTGTGTCACTAACCTCTTTATTTTGGCAGATAAAGAGTCCCTTTAATCAAGAAACCATTGCTTGTCTCAGTTTGATTGCCTGCAGCTAGCAAGAACAAATCCATGCATGCCCTTTCGATACTAACACACCTGATTCAGCTCAGCTGGAGCGTTACTTTTGCCTCCTCTGATCCTTTGACCCTTCCATCTTTTCAAATACATTTCCCTGTTTAGAATCTGTCTTCAACTGGTTTGTTTCGATTTAAAGATTCAGTAGATGTTGCTCTGAATTTTGAGAACAAAGAAAGTGGAAAAAAATATTTTAAAAAATTGTTAGAAAAAGAATCAAGCCAAAACAGCAACAACACAACAAACTACTTTTTCAAAACTGCATTAATTTAGAAGTCCTTCATACAAAAATAATCTTTGATATGGAGAATGAGAGACCTTTGTTTTCAACTGTCCTTCTGTTCGTGCTGCAGGGGTATCTTCTCTCCCCGTTTGGCAGTTTCTGAACTGTTTCTGAGTTATCATACTTCAGGTGATATTTCATTTAGAAGCAATTTGGCATGTAGCTTAGCACTCTGTCCAGTTAGAAAGAGTGGCTGACATGGTAGCCTCATCCGTCACCTGAAGCTGGCCATCTCTGTTCATCAGGCAGAACCTTGCCTCCTACTGAAAGTTGTAATGAAACTGGGATCCTGCAGTGCTAACGTAAGCGTCAACACTTTCTGATTTTAAAATTATTTGGTCTCTGTTGAAATCTCAGTATTCTTTTAGTGTTGTCATAGGATAAGAATAGGGGCTCAAGGAGCACAGGCAGTAATGCATTGACTTTCTCTTATGGTTTTAAAACAATTATTTCAAATATCTGTTCCATACAGGAAACACTCAGGAGGAGAAAAAGTAATGCTCCAGAAGTGGCAGGTAAACTAAATCTTGTCTGCACATGATTAAGCTAAGATTTTCATTACCCGTGTGTCCACTCACATTTATATATTGTGTGTTTATGTGCTTCAAAGCCTAAGCTATTCTCTCACAGCTGGAGGTGAGGATATTGGCAAGACGAGCAGAGTATTTACATCTGGTTATTGCAGAGGTTTTGCTTTTCCCACTGTGAAACATATGGCCAACTATCTGACAGATTGTGTGATCCTATGCATGTTTTAAAATGGAGCTCAGAAATAGCCACCTAGTTAATGACAGATCATCTAAATCAATGTACATCTTTTGTCTTCACTGACTTTATACTGAGCTGAGAAATGTACTCACTTTCTTGTATTCCTGTTCTTGGTGGTTTAAGGCACATTCAGGAAATCTATATCCTTTTGATTATATGCAGCACTTTGTGAATCCTTTCCATATAAAGTTGTCCAGGATTTGCAAATACACAAATTGTTTGCATTTGGCACTTCCAAAATCCAAAAACGTGCTCTATTACTCAAATAGCACATAAAAGTGTGGATTGATTATAGACAAATACAAATGACCTGTCTGAAGAAGAGCCAGAAGAAAGACTTAGATTCTCTTGAATGGACTTTGGCATAAGAGCTGTTGTGCTGATCCGAATGGTGATAGGTGATTGATTCCACTATGTTTAATGTTTATCCTGGTGGATGGGGGAGCTATGAAGCTCTGAGGTTGCCTCTGGGGCATGGTTTTCAGGGGTGGAGTTAGGAGATTTTAATGTCTGCTTCTTTTCCTTGACAGAAGAGGGAGATCAGCAACTTTGATTACCTCATGTACCTGAACACACTGGCTGGCCGCAGCTACAATGATTACATGCAGTATCCTGTGTTTCCGTGGGTCCTTGCTGACTATCACTCCCAGGTCAGTGCATGCTGCTTAGTGGGACTCAGTACTTTCTGCAATTTGTTGCATGATACTACTGCAGTAGAAGGGCCTAGACCAAAGATTCAAAACTTGATGTAGTGAAGTCAAACTGTACTGATTATTTCCATATTAGACTTGTCTTCAGGTCAGCTTGTGAAGGGATGTGTTCTGCCTCAGTAAGGTGGTCAAGCACCTGTTATGTGCATACGTACGTAAGGGAAGGCTAAGCTGACTTTGCAAGTAGTCAGTGGCAGGATTCTGTCACCTGCTAAGGGATCTAGGCAGAAGCGACTTTGAAAACAATTTGAAACATGCCAAGACTTTTATTCAGTGCCTCGTAGGTTCTTCATTTGTGAAGCATCTTGTACGTGCTGTCTTTTCAGTGGCACATGTTGCCATTCCATTTCCAAGTCCCTTCAATACTGAATCTGTGACAGCCTTGTACAGGTGGAACTTGTAACCAGCTTTTCCATAATCCAGTATCACTGAGATGGTCATGATGCCTTAGTCTGTGTTCTAAAAAATCCCATGTTTGTTCTTTTTGTGTTTCAGACTCTAAACCTTAGTAATCCCCACACATTTCGGGACCTGTCAAAGCCAATGGGAGCACAAACTATGGAGAGGAGACAAAAGTTCATTCAGCGCTACAAGGAAGTGGAGAAGAGTGAAGGTAAGCATTTCAGAAGGCTAACAGATAGCAGAGGCTTTAAGGCATGCTTGTGAATCCTTTGGTCTTTCAAAACTTCGGTGATGGGAAGCATTATACCAAGGAGGTCCGCTTGCTTCTGCATACAGAGTGCTTGAGGATTGAAAGAGAAATGGCTGTCTTGCAAACAGTTCCTTCGTATGTGACTTGAACTGTTGCATTCTGTCATCTTCCCTTGGGCAGAAAGATATGCACCGGCAGAAGGCAGTGTCTGAAAAGATTGGTCTGTTAGTTAAGTTGTATGTATCGGTTTTCTCTGGTAGCTAAACTGCATATAGAAGACTGCTACACGCAGTACAGCTAATGACAGATACAGTTAGAGGAGAAAACTGGGCGTTTAAACTATTGACCTCTGGAGATTTAGACCATTTTTCATTACTAACATGGTGATATAAGAGGATAAAGACTTTATTCATCAGAACATGAAAGGTGGGAGGCAAAGCAGAAGAATACATAGATGGTTTTAACAGCATGTTCAATGCAGATATGCAAGGTGTGCTTTTTGCACATCTTTGAACGCATCTATTTTAAAGAATTACTGAATTGTGCAATAATAAATTAGTGTTATGGACTTGAAATGGTGAAATTTCCCATTAAAATCTGATTTTGTGTTGAATTTCCAGGAGACTTGTCAGCCCAGTGCCATTACTGTACTCACTATTCCTCAGCAATTATAGTGGCATCTTACTTGGTCCGATTGGAGC